AAAAATAGTTGTCCCTCGGATTTTCACGGCACCCTTCCAGGTGAAAAACCTGAATGGTCAGACAGTAACAGCAAAAGAACTCTCTGCGTAGCCAAGTATCTTGTTACAACCCTCAAACAGAGATTTACAACAGTGCTAAAGGCATGAATACTTCTCTAGGTGCATGGAGCCATGTCTGCTCTGGTTTGTGTTCTGTGACACATCTGAGGAAAAAAAATAGGTTTTAAATCCTTAATGAAGTCATTAGTGTAGGTGCAATAAGTGTAGTTGCAGTAAGTGGTAAAATGAGCCATACACAGATGGCTTCCATCCCCTCCCCTTTTAACAAATACAGCCTAAAAGGAAATTTGTAGCTTTGCAATGAGACAAACTGTGCTATCCTGACCCTACCGGAAAATAACAAACCAAAACAAAAGCCAAAAAAACCAAAACATTGTTAAGACTATTAGTTATGCTACCCTTATTTCTGAAAATCAATTTTTACTCTATGTCATACCTTCTATATAGAGATCTATGATTAAAAAAATACATGTAGCAATATAAGGTGGATATGGGAATTATTTTTTCTTTTAAGATGGCTTAAAAACATTACAAACATCACTATTAGTGTACCTGGCATTGTGTGATTCTGTTCATTTATTTTTGATTTATATCTGTCTTTGAGCATTTCTGCTCTCTGCAGTCTCTGCAGACAATTACAGCAGTGTTTTTCTGCAGGGTTAGGAATAGTACTGGGAAGATTTTACGTGATCATGAAAGACTTCGATTGCATTAAAAAGACACATTCTCCAGCTGCATTATACGACTAGATGCTGTAAAGAGAAACCTGTAATGCCAATACAACTGCAGCAGGTGGCACTAGAAGGAGGGTTAACCAAGGCCATGATGCAGACGAGGGGACCAAGAAAACTAAATAGGAAAAGACGAACATAAACGTTTAAAATTTTTGTCTTTATTTCTAGTCTGAAATAAAGTTGCAGTGCCACTGTTAGTTGGATAGTAAATGTGAGCTTGATGGAGCTGAATTAGTGAAGGATGAGGTGAAGAAGGTAGTAAGTGAATAGCTAATTTCTAATTTGGTTGATGTCTTCGAACGAGGAATTTACTGGGAAGGAATAAAACAAATATTCTCAGTCAGCCAGTATGGGTGCTGTTGAATGTTCATATTCTATTTTTGTGCTTTGCAAGCAAATTATTATTTTGTTGTTATTAAATAATGTATAGTGAGTAACTGTGATACACTGAAAACAATTGTCCTGTTGTAAAATGGATTTTGAACCAGAAGCAGAAGAAAGTGCTTATAACTATCCTTTTTACAATTGGTTTACAATTAATAAGCAGACCACAATAATACCAGGAGTATGTTTAGCGTCAATTTAAAAGTGTTTCTTCTGTATAGACAGAAAGTCACAGTGTAAATAATTTAAAGAGGAATAATAATAATGCTAGAAAAAGGACTTTACTACAAGGTCCTTCATTTTGTAAATGAATATCCAGGCAATATCCAGGTCAACTAATTTAAGTTTTGAACAACTAAACTTTGCAGATATTTTATTTGTAAGGATTAATTTGTAACAAGACACCGTTCTTCTGGGGAACTTGCAGTCTTTCTAAAAAATACATATATGAAGATCAGCTGGGAAGAATTGTCTATCAAATCAACTTGTCATAATGTTGCATTTTAAAGGCAAACAAAATGAGTAAGGTTTTTAGTGTTTGGGGGAAATTTCAAAAGTAAGATATGAGAAGAGAAACAAAACACTGGAAGAGTGGGGGAAATTTAAAAATTACAATAGGAAAAGAGGCTTGTAAGAAACAGAAAGACTTGTCTGAGTTCCACAAAGGGGAGCTCAGAAGTTAGTGAAAAATCTGGACACGGTATGGAAGAGGAATGGCAAACGAGATGCTGGCATACAGAGATAAGATTATGTGAGCAGAAATATTTCATGGATGCAGGAGAAAGATACGACGCAGAAGCAAAGAGGAGGTTGCAATATTCTGTGTGAGTCAAGCTACGCTATTTTATGCACTTTACCAGTGCCAGATACCATAGATTCATCCCTGGATAAATAGATTATTATCTTGACATTCCAGATACAAACTGTATAGACTTCTGTAATTCTAGCTGTCCAAACAGAAACATATGTACATGTTTTGGCATACCATTTTATTCTAAGACTGCTTTTTCCATAATTACAAAAGCACATTATATCCATTTGTATATTTACATGCAATTCAGTGGAAAAAAAAAAAATGGAAAATTCTATGACCTTTGTCTGTTAGATGTTCCTTTTTGGTGACTGTAAGCTATTTTATAAGACAAATATTTACCCACAATGGCACTGGCCTTTTTACTGAATTTGCATTACATTACCAGAATAACAATTCTTTCTGATTCAAAGCCCTGGGGATCTGAGAGCTAATCCTAAAGAACATCATTACATTGAAAGTCCTTGCCAAGATTTTATGTGATATTTTTCCTATTTTTAAGCATGAAATTTTGTCTAACTGCAGAGTCAAGGACCATCTCATGGGATATTTTTTAGAGATGGGATGCAGCACATGGAACATTTTTATGCTCATATTAATTTAGTTAGAAGGTCAATATTAACTCAAGGAACTATACAGCAAAGAAATCCAGCTTCTGGACAGTGACTCTATGGTTATGCTAAAATCTGGAAACAGAATGTAGAATTTAAAGGTTGATTTAGGAGAGCTGGAAGGCAGGTTATGATTCATACAATCTTTAAGACAGTTTCTCCATGCATTTTCGTTCAAATAAAAGCTGACATGGAGAAGTGGAAGGCCAGCTGCATAACAGATTATTAACTTCACTTGAAACTTTCTACCTAATATAACAGTTTAGAAATAGGCCTCTTTGACTTAATTGTGCTGATTTTTAAAAGGGTGTAACAAAAACCTGCCTTTCAAGTTTTTTATTTTCAGTTATTTTGGCTGCGCTGAAATACATTTTTGTAGCACCTAACAGAGTTTGGCTTTGGTAGCATGAAACCAGAACACATTTTACTCTTACTTCTGTAGATGAATAAGAGTATCCTTCAGTACTTCAAGGGGTGAGGAAACTGATTTAAATAATCGACAAAAATTCAGAAGCTATGGGAGCTTAATTCATGTTTTGTCTCTATCCCACAGTTATTCTTGACACCAAACGGTTCTACACAGCAATTAGCAGAAAATTCTGTAGTCTCTGCAACATGGAAGAGAGAACACTCAGCAACATTGTATCTAGTGTCTCACCCACACACAGCAGCATCGTTTAGGATGAAAAATCCCGTTGGTATATAGGAGCTGCTAGACAGTTCACATGAAGTAGGAAAATGAAGTTTGGACCACTGGGCTGAGTATACAAATGCTAAGTCTGCTTTTTGTATACCTCACAGTCACAAGGCACGCAGTTTCGTATTGTCATAGTAATTTCTGCCAAAACATAGACAGTTCATACAGCACAAACACTGCAGAAGCAGCCATTGATGTGGTCCTCTAATGCAGCTTTTGCCCTCACTAATGTCATGAGTTTGCTAATACGCAGTTATTACGCAGTTTGTCACACTTGAGAAATAATGTCTCTAGAGTTAGCATGTACAGTAACTCACCCTGTTTTGCAAAAAAACCACAAACAAAACCACAAACCCAAACCATACCATTTAGAATACAATTTGAATACAATGACTTAAAATACCTCTGAAGCTCTTTCTCAAATGAAGCTATTTCCCAAACACAAGCAATAGGAGGGTTTAGAGAGAAAGTATAGGAAGCAAAATGCTGTATGTGGTATTTGGGGGCTAAAGTATTTTGGGAAAGACAGGTGCAATCATACATTTATATTACGTTTAGGTGTTTACTCTTGGGAGTTGAGAATGTAATTCTTTAATGCCAGCATTAATTGTGATAAAGCCCTCCAGGGACAGTGGTGGTGCCTTTTCCTGAGGGGCAGTCAATCACTCTCTCCCCAACCAAAGGCAGGCTGCTCATTTTACTCGCAGGCTTAGGTTCTCTCCTACAGGCAAATCGCCTTCCTTTAAGACAGCAGAACTTGAAACGCTTTTGCAGCTGAAAGTGTAAAAAAAAAAAAAAAAAAAAAAAAAAAAAAAAAAAAAAAAAAAAAAAAAAATAAAAAAAAAA